CCCCAGACTCTGTTAACAGCTCATTTTCCCCAGTTGTCCACTCCAGGCATGCACAGGCGCACACGTTCTGCTGCAAACATCCAGATTGTCAGATGTTCGGCTGTGTGTGTGTTCTCTATGAGCGTGTCCCAGCTCTGTGCAAACCATTGGCACAGAAGACCATGACAGAACTGCCCAGGAATCACAGGCCCATTCGTGGTAAAGGCACTTGGCCAGGTTTGTTCACAAAGCACAGGCCTGATGCCCTAGCTCAGTGATTACAAGTACACTAACACACATATGCCCCTTGCAATGCACTAGCTCAGTTAATAGTAGGCAGGGGCGGATTTACAATGAAACATGGCATGACCCCTCTCCCCAATGACATGGGGCCTCCAAGGCCGGGCAGTCCCGCACTAGGTTTGGCAACCTCCCACTCCTGTGTAGGGGGTGGCCACTCTGTGGGGAGGGAGCGGTCAAGTTTCCTGTGGGCTGTGGGGGGAGCAAGAGAGCAAGGAGGAACATTTGACAAGTTCAGCAATATTGACAACTGAAAGTGCCTCTTTAGAAAATATTACGATGATGTCATTGACGATTTTGTAAAGCAAAAGTGTAGAAAGGAAGCTAGCTGAACTTTTTTTTTTTTGTAAATAGAATAAGTTTCTTCAGAGGAAATTAACTTTTATTTTTCCATTCATCCTGCATTTTGCTTCAGCTACCCCAGACTAACACGGCTACATTTCTATCACTCATCTATACATTTTATTGTTACACGTTTTTCATGTTGGCTTAATGCAAATACAAGCTTTCATCTAGACCAAAAGTTCTCAAACTGTGCTCCAAGAATGCCATTCAGGTGGTCCGAGGAAAGGTTATTATCTTTTTTTTTTTTATAAAGCGCTCTTATCCAACACATGCATCTGACAAAGTGGGTCTTTGCCCATGAAAGCTTATGCTCCAACACTTCGGTTAGTCTATAAGGTGCCACAGGAGTCCTTGCCGCCTTTGCAGATTCAGACTAACACGGCTACCCCTCTGATACTTATCCAACACACTTTACAATAGTTAGCTAATGGTACCAACAATATTTGGAAAGATCATCAAGTGGTCCTCTGAGACCCTCAGCAATTTTCAGTTGGTCTGTGGGGGAAAAAAAGTTACAGTACAAAAACAATCAAGGTACCTTACTTCATTTTCATTTACTTCTTATTACTTATGATATGGGGGAGGGATGAAGAAAAAAGAATGAAAAATGGGGGGGTGCAGGAAGAGTGAATGTTCTTTTTCTTGGCTGGGTTCCGGGGGGAAGGGCCGGAGGCAAAAATGAAGCTGAGCACAGGGCCCTACTAACTGTAAATCCACCATTGATAATAGGAAATTCTACTATCCCCTATGGCAGCCAAAGACAGTCCCTCTGGACACTGGCTGTCCCTCTGGGCTCTGGCTGCCACAGTTGAGCTTCTGGGGTTCAATTTTGCAGGGGTAGTACAGTGAACCCTCGTTTATCGCGGTAGATAGGTTCCAAACCCGACCGCGATAGTTGAAAATCCGCGAAGTAGGGACACCATATTTAACATGTATACAGCGAGCCCTCGCTACTTCGCGGTTCGACCATCGCGGATTCACGTATATACATAATGTAATGAAAAAAGTCCGCGAAGTCGTGAATCCGCGATGGTCGAACCGCGAAGAAGTCGTGAATCTGCGATGGTTGAACCGCGAAGTAGCGAGGGCTCACTGTATAGACTAAATCAAACTCAGAGGGTGCCCCAACCGGTGCCAATACTCCTGCTCCTCCTGAGGAATAAGGGAAGCTGACCGGAGCATTTGCTCCCATCGACCTCCCGCTGTGTGGACGGGAATTTAAGATACATCAACTCCAGCTATGTACATCACGTATCTGGAGTTGCATATCTTACTTCGACCTTCCCGTGTAGTGTAGACCTCTGAGATTTTTAGACCCCAATACAAACAAGTTTCATATTGTCCCTCTGAAATAGTTACTGCCCTTCACCTTGCACCTGTTGGTGCTCTATCCGTGATCCTGTTATCCTTACGAGAGGTCAGTGTGTCCCTGTTATCTTTGGGGGATGTGTTGGTATCGTGGTATTCTGGTACCAGCCTTTGGAATGTGTTTGCGTGCATGTCCCGTGCTTAGCACTTCTTATGCATGTGTGTTTCTGCAATAGTAGCCCTGGGCTTGCCAGATTCTGTGAGCAGGGCCTGCCCCTAGTTCCCAGCCTGACTTTGCTTGATATCAGCAAAGCTTTGACCCTTACCCTAGCCCAGGCCTTTCCTACCAAGGGTTCATGTCTCAGGTTCTCTGCCTACTACCATCAGATGATGATTTAGAGTTTTAAAAAAATAAGTTTTGCTCTATAACTTCCATTCTGCTGTGCGTTTTCTTTCCAGCATAGTTCTTCACTCGTTCGGTCACAGTAGAAAGTATGAACACACTCTGTCCAGAATAGAAAATTGTGCTGCATTGTTGATCACTGATGTTTGTAGGACCCACAGACAAAGTTTGGTTGAAACCAGTGAGAAATGAGGGAAGAACAGCCCCTTGGAACAGGTCTATCTTTGCCAATGCCAAGGTAGATCTATTCCTTCCTACGCTCGCTGTGGGCTTTACTTAAGTTTTCTGTTCTTTTTCAAAAGCTTTTTCACGCCGTTTTGCACCTGCGCTGTCTTTGGGAGAAGGAGCAGCATTCTTGAAGCCACGTTTTGAGACTGGGATTCTATTACATATAGTAGAACTAATGAAGACATGGCATTTCCGTCAGCTGTGTACCCATGATGTCTGTATTGACTTGTGCAGAAGGTGTGTGTACCACTGCCCTCTACAGGAGTAAATCAGAACAGTCCAAGTTTGTATCTTAGTCTCTACTCTGCTATAACAATTCAAATGGCTTGGTGGCCTTTGCCAGTGGCGGGGAAAAGGTGGAGAGAGATGCTTTCTTCTGCCCCTGAGCAAGGAACCCTGTTGCAAGCAGGTGAAAATTACCATCCACTCTGTTTCCCTTTCTAGTTCTCACTGTGCAGATTTTTTTTTATTCCAACCTTCCCCAGATGTCTTCCTTTACAGATTTAAAGAAACAGTACACATGTTCTCATTAGGGGTCTGCGCTTTTTGGAGCAGAAAGATTGGAGTTCTGTTGCAGGGTGCAAGTGGTCATGGAATATGGCAGAAAGGTGATGCTGACTATATGCAAATAGCATCTTTCACACTGACAGGTATGAATATGATTAAGGCAAGACTACACAACACGCAGGCCCCATTTAAATCAGTTCTGCTGATATTAATAAAATGCAATATTTACCCGATTTCCACCCATATGGCAGCACTTTTAATGAGCAATGTGTGAAATAAAATATATTAAAACAAGACACCTGTGACTAGTTGCGGTGAGATACCCTTACTGACTACAAAGGTGCTGTACAAAGGTAGGGAATTAGCCTTCTTTCACTGGAGGAAAGTAGAAGCCCAAAAACAAATTAACACCTGGCTTCAGGGTTTGTAGACATTTGCATGTTTCAAAGAGCTTGCAAATAAGTCCTGCAGCACCTTAGTACTATTCACTGTTCTTTTCAGCTACAGACGCACACAGCTACCTCTCTAAGCAAATGTCCTCCTAGCCCAAACACACCTAGCTCCCTCCCCCCCGCCACACTCCTCCCAACCAGCCTAACAGAGGACTGCAGTGAGTCAGACACCCCAAACAAACTGCCCCCTGATTCACTGCAGGGATGCCGCCTGTCTACACTGGCTGTGAGTTCTTGCGCAAGAACACTGACATTCTAATGTAAGAAATCAGTGCTTCGTGCGCAAGAACTCTGACTTCCGCTCAGGAATAAGCCCTCTTGTGCAAGTGGTCTTGCGCAAGAGGCCAGTGTGGACAGGCAACATGAATTTCTTGCGCAAGAAAGCCCGATGGCTAAAATGGCTTTCTTGCGCGAGAGAGCATCTACACTGGCATGGACGCTTTTGCGCAAAAGCACATCTCTTGCACAAAAGCACATGCCAGTGTAGGCGCTCTCTTGTACAAATACTTTAACGCAAAAACTCTAGTGTTAAAAGTATTTGTGCAAAATCTTGCCAATGTAGACGTAGCCTCATTGTTTGAGGAATAAGGGAAATTGAAGAAAGAGTGCTCTATTTCAAAATAAGTGCTGTGTAGACACTCCCAATTTAGAAATAAACTACAGTGAACCCTCATTTATCGCGGTAGATAGGTTCCAAACCCGACCGCGATAGTTGAAAATCCGCGAAGTAGGGACACCATATTTAACATGTATACAGCGAGCCCTCGCTACTTCGCGGTTCGACCATCGCGGATTCACGTATATACATAATGTAATGAAAAAAGTCCGCGAAGTCGTGAATCCGCGATGGTCGAACCGCGAAGTAGCAAGGGCTCACTGTATTTCAAAATAAGCTACGAAATTGATGTAGCTCAATTTGTGTAGCTTATTTTGAGTTAAGCCCTGCTGTGTAGATGCCAGAGCCAGATTAAGGGGGGGACTAGCTGGGTAGCTGTAAGGGTGTCTGATGGCAGCTGTAAGGCGCTTAGAGCTGCCATCAGGCACCATGCACCCGGGGCCGGGGGCTGCGCGGCACCCCTTAGAGCCGCAATTAGGCTCCGCACGCCTGATTGCAGCTGTAAGGTGCGCAGCGTGCTGGGGGGTGGAGCCGCGCATGCGCCGTGTGCCCGGGGGCGGATCCGCGCATGCGTTGCTCGCCCGCTGCCCGGGGCACAAGAATGACTCGAGCCGGCCCTGGTAGACGTACCCAAAGGTTCTGGCCAGCCTCCTCCCATCCCTTGGATTCTGTTCATACAATGCCTGCCCCATGCATTTGTGCAATAGGGACTCTCTGAAAATGTTTCCTTCTCCAGGCTGGGAGCCCTAATTTGGCCTTTAGCAAAGAAAGGGACAGATTTATGAGTTTTCTCACAGAAACCTGCCTGACACTGTGATCTTAAACTTCCCAGGCTGCTACCTCACAAGCTTCGTGGCCCCCCCCCCCGCCGGGGTGCCTCATTAGCAGATGTGTTTCAAGGCACTTTCTGGTAATGGAGTTGGGCTGTGCTGGGAATTCTAACCTATAATTCTAAGAGATCATTAACCTCATTTTCCACCTGGGCTTTCAACTGTGTCACTGCATTGGAGGTTAAAATAAACATGTGCAATGGCTGCTTTAGTCCTGTTTTTTTGTTTCAGCTAGACCAGACTAACACGGCTACATATCTATTACTTTTCCTCCCAAAGGCTTTTATGATTATGGCTCTTTGCACACTAACAGAGATTACATGAAAAAACCAGCAAGCAAATGGTCCGGTAGCACTTTATAGACTAACAAAACATGTAGATGGTATCATGAGCTTTCATGGGAAAGCCGGCTCAGGGAATGGGGTTGTCATCTCGCTACCAGGCGTGTGAAAATGCACTTCACTCACCAATGGATCACGCCAACGGCCACTGAAATCAGTGGAAAGACTGGTATTGATTTCAGTCAGCTTTGGACAAGATCATAAATAAAGGAGTAGCCCAGGTGGTCTCAGGCAATAGGCAAGGAGACAAACGACATCGGACGTAGGTCACTGGTCTGGATAAAGCCATGATTGGTGGTATGTACCAGCTCCTGACTCCTGTGAGATAGGAGTTTGTGGTCCTGGGCTACTGAGGAGAAAAGAAAACACAGTGGTTGGAACATGAGCATATTTTGGTCCCCTTAAGAGGTCAAAGGTAGTCCAGTCTTTGGGGCACTGGCCTGGCACTTGAGAGCCCTGGGTTAATGTATCCATTCCACCACAGACTTCCTGTGTGGCCCTGGGCAAGTCCCTTAGCCTCTCTGTGCACTAGCTGGTGAGTGGAACTATTTGCCCTGCCCTGCCTTACAGGAGTGTTGTGGAGGTGTTGAAGATTGCGAGGTGTTCAAGCATGAGGGAGCTGTTACTTTTGATATCGACATCACAGATGCCATTATTACCACAGGGGATGCCTCTGTTGCCAGTTCTCAGCAGGAGGCCATGGCTGGGCCAGGCTGGAGACCTGAAATAATGTCTGGTGTCCTTCAGCTGTATTTCCCAGGCACTTGACAAAGATGGGCACACCTCGCTACTTCCATTTTACAGAGTGGGAAAACTGAGTCAAAGAGGTGACGTCCCTTGCCCAGAGTGTGAGCAACTCAAAGGCAGAGCTGGAGTGGAACATGTGCCTTGGACCCCAAGAACTGGGTCGCGCTGTCTCCCTTTGGGTGCTCCTTCCAAGCCAGGGATGAGGCCCTTTGATAGAGCAGGGAAGCTGGCACCCACAGGCTGTATCTGTGCAGTAAATTAAACCAAGAGTTTGTGTGCAGGGCCAGACTGGCCATGGGGCTGGGCAAAGTGGGCCCATGCCTAGGGCACTGTAGCCACCAGCAATGGAACATGGGTGTTGCTAGGCAAAGGGGGTGGACAATACTGGGCAGGGGGGCAGTGTGATGGGGCATGCTGGAAGCGCAGGGCTGGGGTTGGGGGCACAGATGGGAGGAAAGTGCAGGGGTGGATGAAGGGGGCACTGTGTAGAGGTTAGGGGCAAAGGGGGCACAATGCAGGGGCCAGTGGTAAAGAGAGCACCGGATGGGCATGCAGGGGTTGAGGAGCCCCTGGGTGCCAAGGGAAATGGGGGGTGCTATGCCCACAAAAGTCAGAGGCAACAAAACACAAGTTTATCCAGGGCACCATTTTCCTAAGGCCAGTCTTGTGCAAGGCTGTGAATCCAGAACCTCCCTGGAGCATTGCCTTCATTATGAGATTTGCATACAGCACGGCAGGAACGTAACAACATGCAGGTTGCGTGCCTGGGAGCTGCTGGATGTAACAGCAACACAGTCTCTTTATGGGCCAGGCTGCTGACTTTCTTGCAATGCAGCCACCTCATTGTTCAGTTCCCAGCTGGCTTCTGGGACCACCTGGGGAGAGAAAAATCGTTGATTTCAGCATAACAATGGTCCCTCCCCAAGCACAAGTGAGAGCCCAGGCTCAGGCAGGTCTCTGTGCCAGCTGCCGCTCTTGGGGTTCAGAATCTGGCTCCCTCCAACAGCCCTCCATGGTCACACTGCTGCCAGCTGGCCGGGGAGCACCGAGGATCCCAAGTCATGCCATCACGGCTGCACATCTCCACACTTGAGGGATCCCTGGATGCCGCTGGCCCTGCTGCTCCAGCTCAGCCAAAGATCCCTGGACTGAGGCTCCCTGGCCACCGCCAACCCCTTTGCTGCCAGCCTAGCCAGGAATCCTCCAGACTGGCACTCCCCAGCAGCTGCTGACTGTGCACCAGGGCTCTTTGGTCCTGTAACATCCATAATGAGAGGTTCAACCTGTCGTGAGTTTTACCAGCCTAATTCAGGGTCCTTAGAAACGGAGACAGGCCACTGTCCTCTTTACTGCATCTCTTGCCCTCTGCCGTTGACCCCTTCATTCATTTATTTGCAATGCAAAATCTTTACACCACTGTGGAGAGACCAATGTTGTGTCTGCTGGCTGACTGGGACTCAGAACAGGAGTCTTATTCCTGGCTCTGCCACTGAGCCATGATCTGTTGCTGGACATGTCATGCAGGGTGGGATTTATAAAGGTACTTTAGTGCCTAACTCCTCTGTTTTACAGATGGGGAAACTGGGGCGGATGGGCTCAGGGTGGTGGGACCCACAAAAGTATATAGGCACCTGACTCCCATTGATTTCAGTGGGGTAATATGATGCTTGCTCATGAGGTCTGTGGGTGAAGAGGGCTAGGTTAACGCTATCTATTTAGTGCTCTGAACACAGAGCTAAGTTCCAGGAGCTCTTGAGTCCCAACTCCTGCTCTGGCATTGACATGCATGGCCTTGGACGTATCATGTCATCACCCAGTGCCTCAGTTTCCCCACTGATCCCTACTAACCTCACAGGTTGATGTGCCGATGGAATTGTTAGCACTGGTGCAGCACGTGGCAAGTACGGAGCACTGTACAGGTCCTACAGTGAGCCAAGTGTTAAGTGGCTCTGCAATACGCTTCCAAATGGAGAGGGTAGGAAAGACTCTACATAAGGGTATTAAAGCTTCACTACTGCAGTGATGGGCATGCTAGCGGGACCTTAGACAGGCCGTAACGTTAGGTTGTAGCTTAAAGCAGTGAAAAGAAGAAACAATGAACTGGATTTACAAGTTAGATAATGACCATTCCTGTACTGCAAACCTTACACACACGCACAACCCTCTCAGGCCTATCCAACTCAACAGGACATAAGTAGGGATCACACCATGAGCCAATGCAACAATGGGCAACCTAGGCTAGTGAACAGGCCACATGAGTGGCCCTCCTTCATCTCAGTGGACCACAAGATTGTCAATCCTAAAACCGTCTCATGGGCTGGGATAGTTTTACTAACTGCGCTTGCCTACCTCACATAGAGCCCCAATGGGCCGCATGCAGCCCGAGGGCAGTAGCTTGAGCACTGAACTGGGCCTCAGGAGACCAGGATTCAATTTCTGGCTCTGACACTGATTTGCTGGCTGACCTTGGGCAAGTCACTTCCCCACTCTGTGCCTGTTTCCTCTCCCATCCTGCGTCTGTCTCAACTACTTCGAGCATAAGCCCTTTGGGGCAGGGATTGTCTCTCATGCTGTGTCTGTGCAACAAGAAGCACAATCTTAGCCGAGGCCTCTGCGTGCCACTGTGATCTAAATGAATAAAAATATATGTTTGCGCATATAACAAGCTCATCACTAGAAGGAAGGCAACATAAGCTTGTGTCTTTCATGTACTGACAAAGGCACAATCCACACCTAGTGTAACTCACAAACCCTTGGCACAAGTATCGGTAGGTACTGGGAGGGGGAGGACAATGTATTTAATAATACACTGAGACTGACATGTAAAAGATGAGCATCACCTCCCTCTGCGATGGATGTCTGTTTCACAGGAAGACTTCCCAGGTTCCCATAATTCACCATGGAGCCCCAGTGATTCACTCCTTTTGTTGGCTGATGAATTCAGCAGATTCTCCAGCTGGACAGGTACTGTCACCACTAATTAATTGGATTCCCCTACATCTGAGAAGGAGGAGTAGAGCTCAGCTGTTGCCATTTTCCTGTGTTAAATCAATGTGGATTTGTTTTGAACACCCTGACACACAGCGGCTGGGGACAGTGTGACATATTGAATGTTTTGATGTGGAGACGTGCTTGTTTCAAAATCACTTTAGCCCCACGCTAATTAATTCCAAAGGGAAATCGTAATTTCATCGAGTTCCCTGCAGGCCTGTTATTCTATCTCTGCTGAGTTAGACGGTTCTGAAGGGAAAGCCACAGATAGGCAGGGTGACCATTTTTCCATATACGGAATACAGAACACCAGGTACAATTACGTGTATTCGAGCGCGTTCAACAGCAATCAATTGTACAAACATTCAGATTAATATCAAGTTAACTGAGCCCATTATCAAGAAATACTGTACAGCTGGATTTTTTTTTTGCCTTCTTATCTTTAAGATTTTAGGGTTCACACAGGGAGGAGTGACAACACCCCCACATCCCACACACATGGGGAGGGGTCACACACACACATACCCCCTATGCACCTCTGTGACATGGGGGGTTACTAACCTGACCCTCTCTGTCCAGCACTCTCCATCCTCCATGTCTGACTGGACCCCCCAGGATGGATCCAACTCACCTGTTACCTGAGACTACATCTTCCAGAGGCAACATGTGCAGAGAGGGTACAAAATGATATACACCCCCACTCCCAGATTCCTTCCAGGATTCACACCGGAATGTGGCCAGCAGCAGCCTTCTGGCAGAGTGCAGCAGGAAAGAGACAGGAGGTGCTTCCAGCTGCAGGGGAGTGGGAGGGAGGAAGGGACGACCTGGCCTGCGTCTTTGCAGAGCTCTTCTCTTTCCTCCCTTCCCATCCCCCTTCTTCCCCTCCCCCCTCCCCTCCTC